GCATTCCTGCCCCAAAATAGCCCTGCATTTATGGTGGTTTATGATTGTCCTAAATCAATGGCCAGTCTTTTCTAGCAAGGCTTCCACAAGACCATCTAGTGTAGATATGCTTGAATAACTAGCTGGTTCAACTTACTATCTCTCCACTGGTCGTATCCAGGGAGCTGATGGTGCAGTGATCCTTTTGGTGCTTGTGACCAGTTCGAAGCCTGTTCATTAGGTTACTTTTCAAGTATTCAAACAGTACAGCACAGTGGGCGGTGTGTCACACGCGTGTGTTTTTATAAAACCCAGTGGTGGTCCTGTACCTACCACCTGGCTTTTAAGTCAGTGTTATCGACGTTATCGTATTCGCACATGCACATTTTTGCAGAGACTAATAGGAGCCCTTAATTTCCCCCCTTCGCATCGTTGAATATCCTGACCTTGACCATCCATGATCCTGAGGAGAACTGATTTCACCTACCGTGCTGCCACACAAGGCCCCTCAAGGCCAGCAAATGGAACTCCACCACCACAATTACTGCACAGCTGGGAAGTTGTTCAACTGCTGTTCAAGACTATTGAGTGGCGGGGCTATGTCTCAGAGGCAGAGCTCCTGTTTGACGTGAAGAAGGTCCCAGGTTCGATCCCTGGCACCTCCAGTGGAAAGGGTCAGGTAGGAGGTGATAAGGAAGACCACTGGCCGATGCCAGTCAGAGTAGACAGTACTGACCTTGATGGATCTTGACAGACAGGATAGTCTGGGTCAGTATAAGGCAGCTTCATGTGGTCATGTGTTCAGTGTTGTTGACAGAGAAGGGAATAGCTCAGTTTTTCAGCATGTAGGGGATTTTTCCAGTGATTGCGGCTGTCAATCAAGTATGTTCGACTGTCGAGTGTGGGTGCTGAAAAAGTCCTGATATTTCTAACCCACTGTGTGGGACCGTGCCTCCTCTGTGTGTCTGAGGTCATCCCCCCCAAAAGGTGGGGGCTCACAAAAAAACCCAACCCGAAGAAACAGGTTAGGTTACCAAAAAAAAAGAGGGTTGAGCGAGCAAGCTCCAAAAAAATGTACAACTAGAGCAACCAAAATAAAAATACACTTTAATGGTAATAATATCGCATATATTGGTTTACCGGCTATTTAGCATTGGGAAAACTATCTTTATCATGTTATGTTGTTTACTGTTGAGTATCCTTTATTGTTGCTATTAAAGGGTACTTTTATTTTGGTTTCTCTGTTTATACCCTTTTGGAGTTTGCTCAGTCCTTTTCTGAGGTCGCCTCTCCAGAGTCCATCTCTCCATGAGACCCCACCTTCTCTAAGGTCTTACCTCTGTGCAGCGTTCTTCCAGACGTTTACAGGCAGATAGGAGGGAGCTGAGGCAAATCAGCTACACTGCTTTTTCCATTTAACAATGGAGGTGTAGGAAAGAGACAAAGAGGTGTACCGAGGAACTGCAGGCCGCATAAGTTTGGTGTAGTGCCAGTTTGGTGTAGTGGTTAGGAGCGCGGACTCTTATCTGGGAGAACCATGTTTGATTCCCCACTCCTCCAAATGCAGCTGCTGGTGTGACCTTGGGTCAGTCACAAGTTATTTCAGAGCTGTTCTTTCAAGGGCAGTTCTCAAAAGAGCTCTCTCGGTCCCACCTACCTCACAGAGTGTCTGTTGTGGGAAGAGGAAGGGAAAAGAGATGGTAAGCCACTCTGAGACTCCTTCAGGTAGTGAAGGTGATTAACTCCTCCTCCTCCTCCTCTTCCTCCTCCCCCCCTCCACATGAGATAGGGAAGGGTTGGTGGAGAAGTTGGTCCAGCCGTAGGAGTTCAGTTATGTGTCCCCAGTTCTCTGGTTCTATTTTGTGTAGCAAAGTTTTTGGAATCCAGTAATGGAGTCCAGAGTGGTAAAACGTTGCAGTGCACTTAGGCATCATTGTTCCAGTCACAGACCCTGTGCCACGGGAATCCCTTATGGCTTTTAAAATTTTAAGTGCTTTCTAGTGCTGGAATAACCTCTTCTTCTGGAAACTGTTACATTCAGCCATTGCCAAGGCTTCCCTCTTTCACTGAAAGCGCTGCCTGGCTAAGTGTTCAGGGCCTGCCGCCCGCTCAGCGCTGCCTGCTGCTGACAAAGATGGCGTGCCAAAAAGCAGGCAGCCGACTCTTGGCCCTTTGCAGGAGAGCCTCTGCTGCTTGGTGCAAAGAAGGGGCCTCCCCTGTCACCAAAATGGGAGGCAGTTTCTAAAAACGGGGCTGGATTCCTTTGCAGCTTCTCTGTGCGCTCTGCTCCAAACAAGTGACACAGTACAATGCACAGAGACTGGATAGCTAAACCCAGGCGGCATCAAAAGATGTGTTTTCCCACCCAGTTGGTAACCAATTGTTGCACAGTGGTCAAGAGTGACATAAGAAGCCACCAATTCAAATGGTTCCTGGCGAGCCAGTGTGGTGTAGGTGGCTAAAGTGTCGGACTAGGATCTGGGAGACCTGGGTTCGAATCCCCATTCTGCCATGCAAGCTTGCTGGGTGACCTTGGACCAGTCACACCCTCTCAGCCTCGCCTACCTCACAGGGTTGTTGTGAGGATAAAATGGAGGAGGCGGGAATGGTGTAAGCTGCTTTGGGTCCCCATGGGGGAGAATAAAGTGAATAAATGGCCGTGAACTTGCCATGCTGATCTGTGCTTTCCCCCACCCATTTGCAATATGGGGCAGTCACTCGCCTACCTTACTGAGCTAATATGTGTAAAAGACTTAGAAAATTATACTGTGCACTTCGTAGCACTTTACCCATTCTAGAAATGTATTTCCTTGCATGACTTATGTTTGCACTTTGTCACTGAATCACTTTAGGTCTAATAATTGGCAGATGAAAATGGGCAGGTATATGTTGTTTGCCTTCAGCAGCCGTGGCTTTGAGTCCCTGTGGTCTGGTGGTTAGAGCACCAGATGAAGACTGGGAAGATGCAGGTTCAAATCCTTGCTCAGCCAAGAGGCTCACGGCTGGCCTGTGGGTGGTCTGTCTCGGCCTAACCCACCACACAGGTTTATGAGGTTGCTGTGCGAAAAGGAAGCATCCCGGTTGGTTGTCCGACTATTTATTCTTTCCAAAGTGACTAAAACGGAGAGGTGCTTGTACAAAAAGAGTTCATGGCAACATGCTCACAATATGCTGTAATGCATCTGCACAATTACTTCGGCGCAGGTCTGCAAATGTGTGCAGTGCCATGTAGAGAATTTTCATCTCCACCGTTGCTGTGACATGGATTCACGAATGTGATCCGTGTTGCAACATATTGGCTTTGACATTGGCATTGGAACTCCATGAGCTTGAAGGGAGGCATCGAAATGATGGGAGAGGATGATTGGGTGCCATCTTGTCCCTGGCCCCCTTCTGTTGGTCATCCAGACTCACAAGAGCTTCAAGGTCAAGGGGTGTATCTTTCCAGTTGCCTGCATAAATCTGTAAGGACAAGTCAACCAACCCAGATTGTAACTGAATTATCTACTCGTAATTACAGTTCCCATACAACCTGGATATTAACTTCAGTAGATTCAGTTCCCTGTTGTAAATCATGCTGGCACTGAAATATTTAAGAGATGCATAAATTAAGTCCATGCTGCCAAATCTGCATGCATTAAATATGACCCACGGTACCTCAAGTGCACCGGTCACCTTTGCTGACAGTTGCAAGGCAGAAGTCTGTAGCCCAGGGGTACCCAGCCTTTTTGCGCCAGTGGGCACCTTTGGAAATCTGACACAGGGTGATGGGCGCAACCACAAAATGGGTGTCACAGGAGGCGGAACCAACTATAAAGTGTCAGGGAGCGAGGCTATACATAACTCTGATTGTAGCCCTTCAGCATTTTGGTCAGAAGCTCCATTTAACAGGATGCTTTTTAAAATTAACATATTGTTTAAAAATATTTTCTTACATATACACAAGTATATGTATTGAGCAAGCTAAGAAACACTCATCTGGCAGTAACTCTCAGATCTCCGGTGGCCAATCAGAAGCTCTGTTGGCCCCACCTGCTTTCTAAAAACACTTGGTGGATAACAGGAAAGGTGTCAGGGGGTGCCATGTTGGATGCCCCGATGTAGCCTACTCACAACAAAGCAAAAGCCCAAGTTGTGTATGCTGACCCAGTGGGCTAGATAGGGGTGAGCATAAACTGGCTCACAAACTAAAGTTCGTGATGAATTTTGGCCAGTTCATGGTTCGCGAACTGAAGTTTGTGGCAGATCAACTGGCACAAACTTTCCACGAATTTTCAGGCAGTTCGTGGTGGTTCGTGAATGGATACGTTTCCAGACAGACTGTCTCAGCTCAATTAAAATGTTTACTAAACTTCAAGGCAACAGGCGAGACACTGTAGAGGAGTGGGTGGCAAGGTGAGTTTCCCTGTGCGTTTGGTGTGTGTAGCTTGCACTTCTGAACTTGTGCACAGCATTTCCACCAAAAGCACTTTTCTGGCAGCATCTTCTTGTTGGGGGGGGATAACTCAGACTGCCTAAATCCAATCTGCACATAACTTGGAAGGCACGTAGAGGGAGTTGGAGGTCCCCTGTGAGTTTGATGTCGCTAGTTTGCACAGGGCCCCGAGCCTCCTGAACCTGTCATTTCCCCAGAAAGCACTTTCCTTGGGCACCTTCTTTGGGGGGCTGTGTCTTAGACCCCGAAAATCCAATCCTCATCAAACTTGGAGGGCAGGTAGAACAGAGAGAGCTGGAGAACTGCTGTGAATTTGGTGTATCTAGCACACTGGGTGTGTGTGTGTTCTATCCTGTCATGAACCTTACAAACCGAACCAGTTCATTTGGTGCCTAAAAGTTCGTGACAGTTCGTGGCTCACAAACCAGGCACACCACAAACCAAAACGAGCTGCATTTTCCTAGTTTGTGTCCATCCCTAGTGCTAGATACCAGGCAGAGTGGAAAAAACAGATGCAGGCAGAAGGTGGGTATGTGTGTGTTGTCTAAATAAAAATGCAAGAACTCTTTGCAAATTCCCCTCCCAGCGAGAAGGCTGCCGGATATGGAAGATGACCATGATGAAGGGGGCAGACGGGCTGGGAATCCAGATCACCGGTGGTCGAGGGTCAAGGCGCTCTCCGCATGCCATCATAATTGCACGGGTGGAAGAAGGAGGCTCTGCGCACAGGTACCATTTGTTCCATTGTCATGTTGCACGAATCTGATGTACAAAAGCAACTTAGAATTAGAGGTGGGTGCCTATAGCACAACGCTTCAAGCCTACGTTGATAGTACAGCCCTAAGAAGAGTTGCATCCTTCTAAGCCCATTGACTTTGATGGATTTGGTGATTGAAAGCGCCACTGAGTTGCAGCTAACTTATGGAGACCCTACAGGGCTAGCCTGAGCCATCCAGGTTGGGGGTCAATGGACTTGGAAGGGTGTAATTCTGTTTAGGGTTCCACAGAGGACTTACAGCCTTCTGGAAAAGGTGCAGGATAATTAATGTTTAAAATTTAGTGAGCAGTTTTCCTAAGGCTTGTTTGGGAAGCAGAAGACCATGCATGTAGCTTTCTAAGTCAGGAATATCACCAGCTGGCCCGCAACAGATGAGAGTGCGCGGACTCTAATCTGGGAGAACCGGGTTTGATTCCCCACTCCTCCACTTGCACCTGCTGATGTGACCTTGGGTCAGTCACAAGCTCTGGCACAGCTGTCCTTGAAAAAGAGCAGTTTGTGTCAGCGTTCTCTCAGCCCCACCCACCTCACAGGGTGTCTGTTGTGGGGACGGGAAGGGAAAGGAGTTTGTAAGCCGCTCTGAGACTCCAAGTGAAGGGCGGGGTATAAATCCAATCTCTTCTCTTCTTCTTCTTCTTCTCTGTTTCTCAGTGGGATGACATTTCTTATGTGAATGGGGAAGGGGGAAGGTTACTCTGTGAAGCGTAGGATTTCCAAATACTCCTTTGTTCTCAAATGCAGGAACATCATCGTGGATGTCTTTTGATTTGGTGTTTTTTCAGCCGGTGGTTTGTGGAGCTCTAGGGATTCCTGCAGATCCGTAGGAAAAGAGGGTGACTTGACTCTTGCTTAAGAGAAGGATGGTTAGGCCCATTTTAAATGAACCGCAGGTGGGCAAGAAGAGAGTTATCTGTGGGCTGTTGCATGATCCTAGTGTTTCATTTAAACTGCAGCGGCAGCCTCTATGCATGCAGCAGTTGCTGGCAGAGATCTGTAGCATGTGGTATGCATGTAGCACTTCAGTTTAAATGAGATACTGGATTTGTTCAAGACCCAGTATGGTAATACTGGTTGAGTGTTGGATGAGGATTTTGGAAGACCTGGATTCAAATTTCCCCATTCTACCATGAAGATTGCTAGGTGACATGTGTATATAGCTGCCTTATATTGGATCAAACCCTTGGTCTGTCAAGGTCACTATTGGCTACTCTGGCTGGCAGCGGCTCTCCAGGGTCTCTGGCGGAGGACCTTCACATCAGCTACCACCTATCTCTCTCCCCTCCTCCATTTTATCCTCACAACAACAGTCCTGTTAGGCTGAGAAAGAGTGACTAGCCAAGCTCACCCAGAGAGCTTCCATGGCAAACGTGAGAATTTGAAATCTAGTTATCCAATTCCTAATCTAACATTCTAACCCAGAAGTGTCAAACTCGTTTGTTACAAGGGCAAGATCTGACACAAAAGTTACTTTGTCGGGCGAACCACGTCTGCCATAAAATATAATGCCAGGTGCCAGAGATATAAACGTTATAAACGACAAAGGCAAACCCGATTAACAATATTATTTTTTACTCAAAATACAAACAAAAGGAATTGATTCCTAGGAGTGAAAGCAATTGATTTACTGGGGGATCCTCAAAAGTCCCAATAGTTGTATTTATTCATATGCAAGACTAGGTTTTCCCCAGGGGATGCCATACCTGCCCCCTAGCCATTTCCTTTCATTTCTTGACAGCTTTTGACTGCACACACCTTACTGTATTTGCCCACGTGCCCCCCGAACAGCCTCCTGCCTTCTCTCTCTTGCACTAGTTGCTCGCAGGCCAAATCAGAACCTGGATGGGCCGGTTCCGGCCTCTGCTCTAACCCCTAAACCACACTGATTCCTGGATGATAAAACAGGCAGCTCAGAATCTGTACTGCACTTACATAGGGAGCAACTGTTTCTTTTAATGTTTCTGTCTAATTATTTCTTCTGACCATCCCTTTCTGGTAGTTTATTGAGGGTCGGCACTCCCTCACTGAGGAAGTAGGTCAGACATTTGGCACTCTGGGGAAAGGCCCAGTTTTCTACGTAAAACATAAAGACCCAAGAAAACTGGCTGGTGGGCACCACATTCTTGCATGTCAGGATGAATACGGTGCTCAGCGCTATTAGTGGAATGAGGTCATGCAGCGCTAACTACTCCACAGCAAGGGGGAGGGGGTTGTGTTAACTACTCCACAGAAAATTTAATATTAAAGCTGACCTACTTAACCAGCGATATCGTTAGTGTTTATAAAGTGCTTTGGAATGCTCCAGAGAAAAATGTTAAGTAAATGTGGAGTGACTTGATTATTTATTATTAACAAAATGCAGATGGAATCTCTTATGTTCAACTTCAAATTTCCCCCCTGAAAGAGAGCACTGGCTTTTATCCATTCTTTCTCGGATGGGGGGGGAGAATCGGTGGAAAATAGTTTAGCCACATCAGGTTTCATGTCTCTCTTGGAGCCTCTAATATCCTCATAGCCTTTCTGCATAGCATACAACATCCTCAGTGCCAAGATAGCTTCAAGAAACTCTATAAACTGTGTTTTTTGCTTCCCCAGGGATGGTAGACTGAAAGTGGGCGATGAGCTCCTAATGATCAACGGTCAGTCTTTGGTTGGCCTCTCCCATGAAGAGGCTGTTGTTCTTCTTCGGTCCGCCGAAGGCCTCGTATACCTGGTAGTTGCAAGCAGGGTAGGTAATATTCCCTATTTGATTCCATGAATGGTTTGTGAATGCATGAAGGATTCACCTTAGATGGCTTTTAAGAAGGGCTGGAACAATTCAGGACCGACAGAAGGGAGTACTTCTTCACACAGTTCGCAAGTAGCACATGGGTTTACTGCCTGAAGACTGTGTGACGGCCACTCGTTTAGATAGCTTTGCAGAAGTCACTGACTCTGGATCTCTCAGCTAGCTAGGTTAGCTAAAATCTGTCAGCTGGATTAGCTAAGGTCAAACGGACATTCTAGAGTGGACGTGGTTTCTACACAGTTTCAAGTGAGTAGCCATGTTGGTCTGCAGTTGAAGCACAGTCTTCTATGGTACCTCCTCTGGTATGTCCCCAGGAGAGCATTACGCTCTGTGGAAAACAACCTACCGGTGATCCCTGGCCCCAAAGATATCCAGCTGTCCTCGACCAGAGCCAGGGCTTTTTCGGTCCTGGCCCCAACCTGGTGGAACTCTCTGCCAAATACCACCAGGGCCCTGCGGGACTTAATGCAATTCCACAGGGCCTGTAAGGCAAAGATGTTCCACCAGGCTTTTGGTTGAGGACAGAGATGGTTCCATCATCGCCGGCACCCTTCTCCTTTCCTCCATCTTTTCGCTTTGGCCCCCTCCTCGCCCTACCTGCAAAATGGCAACATAGTCTGGAGTGGGTCAGGAAGAAATATTGATGCCGTCTGAGGTTCTGTAACTGATATATAGATGTTATTGATTTTGACATTGTTTTTAACTACTGTACATCGCCCAGAGCCTTGTGCTCTCAGGGACTGGGTGATTCACAAATCCAGTAAACAAATAAGCAAAAAACCAGATTCAAGTCCAGTAACACCTTAGAAATGGACAAGATTTTTGGGGTGTCAGCTTTCCAAGAGTCAAAACTTCCCTTCATCAGATGAGCTTTAACTCTCAAAAGCTCATACCCTGAGAAATCTGTTGGTGTCTAACGGACTTGGAGTTAGCTGCTCTGTTGCAGACCGAGACAGCTGCCCTCTGAAACTATCTCAGTAGAACAGCAAGATTCGAGTCCCAGTCGAGGCATCTTAAAGACCGACATGATTTCTAGAGGAATAAGCTTTCAAGAGTCAAAGCCGCCTTCGTCTTATATGTGCGGTTTCTGCATGCATGTTTACTGCATTCTGAGATCTGGTCTACACACGAGGTGGTCATGGGGTAGCAGGCCGCTGACACGACAGTGTGGATGGGACCGCTGCGGGCAACAGGTGAGAGATTATTTATTTTGGAGGTTTTTATGCCCCCTCTCTAGTTTACATTTTTCAAGGCTCCCCCATGTTGGTAAGTGGAAAACTAGGCTCAAAAATGATGGTCACGGTCACAGAACAGACCGCAAAAAGAAGAATACTGTGAGGTAACTGCGCTAGAAAATATTTCAATAACAATCACAAAAATTATACAAAAATGTGTACAAAAAATCATATAAATGCACAAGGCAGTTGAAAATGGTGTGACGATGGTCTCCACCATTTTCAGCTGCCTTGTGCATTCATATGATTTTTTGTACACATTTTTGTATAATTTTTGTGATTGCTATTGAAATATTTTTTAGCGCAGTTACCTCAAAGTGGAAAACTAGCACAACATACAAAGGCCTAGGCCAGAACCTCTCCTCTTGATGCACTAACCTCCTATTTTCAGGGAGCCTTTTCACTGGGGAGTTAAAAGCAGGAATTAAGTCACCCCAGTGCAGGCCAGGCTTCTGCCATTTGTTTAGAAGCCACACCAAAAAAGTGCGTTGAAATCACTTCCACCACACTCAGAACATACATCTTGTCTTTACCCTTGAATAAAGCCTTCATATTCTGACTGTGGGAACAGCAAAACAGAAGATGACCATCATCCTTGTGAAACCGCCTTATGCTAAGTGAAGCCACTGGTCCGTCTAGTTTGTAGAAGAAGAGAAGAAGAAGAAGAGATTGGATTTATACCCCACCCTTCACTTGGAGTCTCAGAGCGGCTTACAAACTCCTTTCCCCTCCCCTCTCCACAACAGACACCCTGTGAGGTGGGTGGGGCTGAGAGAACTCTTGACAGAAACTGCTCTTTTTCAAGGACAGCTGTGCCAGAGCTTGTGACTGACCCAAGGTCACACCAGCAGGTGCAAGTGGAGGAGTGGGGAATCAAACCCGGTTCTCCCAGATTAGAGTCTGCGCACTTAACCACTACACCAAACTGGCTCTACTCTGTCTACTCTGTCTACTCTGACTGTCAGGAGCTCTTACAAGGTCTCATGTTCTTTCCCAGCACTGAGTTGTGTTTAACTGGAGAGGAGAGGGACTGAAACTGGGTCCTGACGCATGTAGAGCGGTGGAGTATAGTTCCATCTTCTGTTCTTCCACAAGGATGTGGCTTGCTGCTATGAAAAGATGACTGAGGGGGACAATGTTCCCTCTAAGCTGTGGAGTCTTGCGAGCAAAAATTCTACTTTGTGAGCTCCTGGGCATTAAAGTTGTGAGCGAGAGATGTGGCTATTGCATAAATGAGTTTGCTCTGGAGCCACCCTTCCTGAGCGAAGACGAAAATGTGTGAGCCAGAGGCTAAAAAACTGAGCTGGCTCACACTAACTCAGCTTAGAGGGAACACTGGAGGGGGAACATGATAGAGGTTTATAAAATTATGCATGGGGTGGTGGAAGTTAATTGGGATAATTCTTCCCCCCTCCCTCTCCCATAATACTAGCACTCTGCGGCATCCAATGAAGTTGACAGGCAACAGATTCAGGAGATACATCTCTTTTTTTTTGGTGGGTATTTGTGTGTGTGTCTGTGTGTGCATGTGTGTGTGCGCGCTTGCATGCCTGGAAGTCATGAAGACTTCTGGTGGCCTCTTCTGGGGGCTTGGACATTTTTCAGGGAGATGGCTTGATAGCCTGTCTCTGCATCCTGAGCCCTGGTATTCCTTGGAGGTCTCCCCTCCAATTACTTGCCACGGTTGGCCCTGCTTAGCTTCTGAGATCTTACAAGATTGGGGTTGCCTGAGCTATCCAGGGCAGGGCAGGAGATATTTCTTTACTCAACCAGTAATGAAATCGTAGAATTCAATCCCAGTGGACATATGACGGCCAGGATTATGGGATGGCTTTAAAAAGGGCGCTTAGACAGATTCATGGAGGATATATATTCATCAGTGGCTACTGGCTATGATGGCTAAAGACAGCCTCCATGTTCAGAGGAAGCAGACTTCTGAATATCATTGCTGGGAGGCAAAGCCGGGGGAAGGCCTCGGCCTCAATGCCCCGCTCCTCAGCCCTCCAGGACAATTGGTTGGCAGCTGTGTGAAGCAGGTTGCTTGACTAGATGGGCCAGTAGTCTGGCCCAGGAGGGCTCTTCTTACATTCTCAAGTCGAACTGTAAGGTGAAGGAGGCTTTAGGTCTGCCGATTAGTATCAGTGCAGCAGAGCTTGCTGAAGCACCCCGTGTGTGTGTCCGCATTTTGAAACCCAGTCTCACCCATCCACCCAGTCGCTGCACTACTTTTTTCACTGGCAGTTATTAAATATTGGCTGGGTTTGGCAGCAACCCGGCTGTCTCTTCTCACCTTGGCAGTAAAACCGTTTGAGTGGAAGCCGATGTGTTTAGGTTAGAGACAGCTGGGCCGCATTCCAAGGCCGGATATCAGCTCAAACCTTCTTAACATTCTTCCCCCTCCCCTTAATGCTGCACCTGCATCTATACAACTGACACGAATTTTCACAGAAGGGAGCCCTGCCAGAATCACATTCATTTTCATAAGAGATACTGCGGGCTGTTTCACAACACGTCGCTTGATTTCTCCTCCTTTGCTTAATCAGCATTCCCTTTTCATCTCTGTTGAGAAGTGTGTGATGCAAAAGTGCTGTGGTTTGCTCTGTGGTGATATCACTTGATGTTCTAAGCTGTCTTGTTGACTCCTCATCTGTGCAACCGTATAGGGGAACGGTTGTCACTATCTGTCGGGTTTCCATCACCGCTGTTACCATTCATCACTCATGAAAGCCATTTTGGTGTAGTGGTGGGTGCTAATCTGGAGAACCGGGTTTGATTCCCCACTCCTCCATAGGCAGCCAGCTGGGTGACCTTGGGTCAGCCACAGTTCTTTCAGAGCTCTCTCAGCCCCACCTACCTCACAGGGTATCTTTTGTGGGGAGAGGAAGGGGAGATTGTAAACAGCTCTAAGACTCCGAGTGAAGGACGAGGTATAAATCCAACTCTCCTCCTCCTCCTCCCCCTCCTCCTCCTCCTCCTCCTCCTTCTTCTTCTTCTTCTTCATCATCATCATCATCATCATCATCATCTGGGTTTTGAGTTATGAGGGGGGGGTGTCTTCTAACAGACATGGGATTCCTCTAGTATATTGCCCACCATGCTGCCCCAACAGTGTCCCCACCTGTGCTTGTGGAGCTGGTCTGAGATTTGGAATCATGGTCCCGTGTCTGGTAGTCCTTGGTGACTTCAGTAGACATGCTGATGCCAGCTGGACTTGAACTGACTAGGACTTCATGGGTGCCAGGACAGTCATGGGGCTGTCATAATTCATCATGGACTCCAGGCATGTGAGTGGTCATGTGAGGATGGGCTGTAATGTAATGGTAGAACATCTGCTTTGTGTACAGAAGGTTCCTAGTTCAGTTCCAGGCAACTTCACTTTAAAGGACCTTATAATAGGTGATGTGAAAGACCTGTACTTGAGAGCTCAGAGACCTGCCACCAGTCGGAGTAGACAGTACTGACCTTAAGAGATGAATGCTGTGACTTGGTATAAGGCAACTCTGCATGTATTTGTGCTTGACCTGGTATTCCCTAGGGTGTGCTTTTGCGACCCCTGTTGTTATGGACCGACCATAAGGTTTAAACTAATGTAACCTCCAAGGTGGTGCTGGGCCTATTAGGAAAGTCCACCCCATAGGCAGATGGATTCATGCCATCACGATTGAGGAACTATTCCAATGTACCTTTAGTGGAAATCATTAATAAATGTCTCTGGCAGCTGATAATGGCAGTGTTGCAGTTTTAACTATGTATTTTAATTTATGTGTTTTAATCATCTTGCTAATTGTGTGTGTTTACATTTTGTAAACCACCTTCGGCATTGTGGAAAGGCAGGATATAGATAAATAAAATACTTGGTGCCCCCATTGAAGTCCCAGTTGGCCTCTGGAATACAAACATGGTCTAAGTGGCTGACCCAACTCCTCCCAAGTGTTGTCTTCATTCGTGTAGAGGTCATGCACCCTGGGTAACTGAGAAACTAGGTGCAATGAAATGTGAGGATAGAAGGCTTGAGCGTAAGTGGATGAAAACCAGAGGCAAACATGACCAAACATGGGCTAGAGCTCATGTTTAGGCCTCCTAGGCAATGATGATGGTCATCTAGTGACAGTCATCACTTTACCACCACCATTGCATGGGTGTAAAACCATCCAACTGAGCTATTCCGAGTGACAAGGAGGTTTTTAGATCTATCTCCTTACGATTTAGACTTGGAGAATCCTGATTTAGTCTCGGAGCTCTCTGTGACATATTTACAAGTCCTTCTGCTGATTAAAGTTGCTCACATCTGCCTGGACTTGGACTCTTCTCTTTTTTCAGTGCTGTTACTTGATGTTATCAGTGCCCCATCAAATCACAGGTGCTAAACGTATCATTAAAAATAGGAAGCAGATCCAGCTGCCTTGCAAGAAGCACTGGAGAGTCCCGTTTTGAGAAAACCCTCGCTCCACTCTCAATAATTGTCTCCCTGTTGCTAACACTCCCGTTTCATACAAGGTCTTGAGCAATGGGTGCTTTGATATCTCCAGGCTTTCTTGGAGGAAACTGATTATCTAGACTGATTCCAAGCTACATTCAGACTGGGTTGTGGAACTGAAACTCACCTGGTCTTCCTGATGGATGATCTACTCCAGGAAAGAGCCAGGGGGGGAGTACATCCCTCTGGATTCTCCTGGACCTCTCAGAAGCTTTCATTAACACTGACCAAGATGCCTACCAGGGGCTCTCAACCAAGATGGGACTTGAGGGCACCATGCTCTGGTGTTCATAGTCCTATGAGGCAGTTTGCTGTACTGGTTAAGTGCGCAGACTCTGATCTGGGAGAACCAGGTTTGATTCCCCACTTCTCCACTTGCAGCTGCTGGATGACCTTGGGCAAGCCGTAGTTCTGACAAGAGCTGTCCTTGAAAGGGCAGTTCTCGAAAGAGCTCTCTCAGCCCCACCTAGCTCACAGGGTGTCTGTTGTGGGGAGGGGAGGGGAAAGGAGTTTGTAAGCTGCTCTGAGTGAAGGGCGGGGTATAAATCCAATCTTATTCTCCTCCTCCTCTCCTCCTCCTCCTCCTCCTCCTCATCGGTACCAGAAGGTAGTCTTGGGGGATGATTGCTGAACTCTGTTGCACTTATACAGCAGGATGCTGTAGGGTTCTATCATACTTGCCCCATGCTTATCCCGAACATGAAGCTGATGGATGAGTAAAGGGTCACCAGAATATGCATAGGTAAAGTGAGGTGACAAATATTCTGGAGCCTTGGCCAAAGGCAATAATTAGTTGGATGAGGGCCAATAAACTGAAGTTCAGTACAGATGATATGGAGCTGTTTTTGGTCAATAATGGCACCAATCAGGAGCTGAGGAGGCAGCCTCTCCTGGACGGTGCTGCCCTCCCCCTGAAGGAGCATGTTCATAACATACAGTGTTGTTTGAGCCAGATAGTAATGTATATCCATGTTCATTGTGTCTTGCAGTGCCTTGAATTGGCGCTATCTTTCTCAGCATCCACCTACGATGCCAATTCAAGCCTATCTTACGAGACCGTTGTATGTAATCACTTAGCCGATACGTGTAATTGTTTTTGTAATTTTTGACAGGATGGGGCAGAAGAGGATTTTCTCAATTACCCATCGACAAGTTTGCCAGACTTAATTAGCACCTGCTCTGTTCAAGATTCGACTCCCTGGACTGAGAATAAAGAGAATGAAGAGCCGGAGGAGGAGGAGGAGGTCAAAGGAAAGACTCTCGTTCCAGAAGTCCAGGAACCTGTAAGTCTTTCATTCTGTACGCTTGTGTGCTGTGTGTATGCCTTTTAAGGCAGTTGACATGTGCAATAAAAAAAGATTCACTATGATTACAATGGTAATTTAAATAGATAAAAATGGCTGATATTGTAATGCCCCTGTATAGATCTATGGTGCATTCTCGTTTGGAATACTGTGTACAGTTCTGGTCACCATATCTCAAAAAGGACATGGCAGAGCTGGAAAAGGCAGGGGTCATTTCGTAGAAAAAGAGGTGCAGGAGCTCATTAGCATAACACATTAGCACAACTCATTTGCATATGCCACGCCCCCTGACATCACCGGAAGTGTGTCGGAAGGCAACACCCACCGCTCAGGCTCCACTGGACTGTTTTGGACTGCTAGCTATTGAGGGGAGGGGCAGAATGTGCAGATCTGCCCTCACAGAGGAGGGAGAGTGTGTACCTGAATAAAACTTGGTCTTAAAGGTGCCAATGGACTGTTTTGGGCCGGGGGGGGGGGCAGCTCTGCAGCTTACCTGGCTGCTTCTTGCTCTGACTGAGGGCTGCTGAGAGCAGGGGGTGGGGCTTGTTGCATGTGCCCGCCCCCTGGGCTCTTTACTGCTGGAGCTCTGCTCCTGTGCACTCCTGCAGGAAATGACCCCTGGGAAAAGGTACTGGGGAGGCTGACCAAGATTATTAGGGGGCTGGAGCGCCTTCCCTGTGAGGAAAGGCTGAAGAATCTGGGTCTTTTCAGTTCAGGAGAGAGACGACTAAATGTGATTGCACGCACACATCTTATTCCTGCCGTGCTAGATTTTTTCCTTCAGGGCAAGGACTTTGGCAATGCAGTTGTTTTCTGTATTTGGCAAGGGTAACCACTATAGTAAAAAAATAATTATATGGTGTAGTCAGTATTTATGAAGTGATACTGCTGAGTGACATAAAACTGCACAGTTGCCTTACCTTAAGAGCTTGCAGTCTTTGGCAGCTGCAAACAGTGGAGTGATGGTGGATGCACACATGGAAATGCGGTTGTATTTCGTAGTTTCTGTGGGAGATGGCAACTAAGGATGGTTTGGCTTCATGGGAGTTTTGAGGATAAATCTTGAAGGACCAAGGAGAGGAGTCCTGGGAAGGAAGGCAGAGTCTTTTGAGAGGAGAAGAGACCTTTGGGAAGCTACGTGTGATAGAGCTGGAGGAAAAAAGGTCGGGTTGATGATATATTAAGACACAAGTGCAGAGGTGTAAGAAGTCTGTTGAGGGATTTAAAGGTAAGGGCTTGTGATGGATGTTAAGAGGGAGCCAACATAGGGATTTGAGGAAGGGGGATCATATGGTTTGAACAATGAGACTGGTGAACAGTTTTGGTGGCAGAGTTCAGTGTAGAGATGAGAGGACTGGGATGTGACAATAGAGGGAGAGAAATATCAGCCTGCAGTACTTCTATGGCACAAATAACTTGGTTGGTTCACAGTGCAAGATGTAATTTTGTGGATCAAAAACTGGCTAATTAATAGGTAACAGAGAGTGAGTGTAACGGGGAAAGCAGCGGGGTACCGCAGGGATCAGTACTGGGTCCAATGCTTTTTAACTTGTTCATTAATGATTTGGAGTTGGGAGTAAGCAGTGAAGTGGCTAAATTTGCGGATTATACGAAGTTGTTCAGGGTGGTGAAAACCAGGGAGGATTCTGAGGCACTCCAAAGGGATCTGTCGAGGATGGGCGAGTGGGCGTCAACGTGGCAAATGGGGTTCAATGTGGCCAAGTGCAAGGTGATGCACATTGGAGCAAAAAATCCTAACTATAAATACATGTTGATGGGGTCCGAACTGGCGTGACCAAGAGAGAGATCTTGGAGTTGTAGTAGATAACTCACTGAAAATGTCCAGACAGTGTGTGACTGCAATAAAAAGGCCAATGCTATGCTGGGGATTATTAGGAAGGGAATTGAAAACAGATCAGCCAATATCATAATGCCCCTATATAAATCAATGGTGAGACCTCATTTGGAATACTGTGCACAGTTCTGGTCACCACACCTTAAAAATGATATTATAGCTTTGGAAAAAGTGCCGAGAAGGGCAACTAGAATGATAAAAGGGCTAAAACACTTTCCCTATGAAGAAGGTTAAAGCACTTGGGGCTCTTTACCTTGGAGAAACAACGGCTGAGGGGTGACATGATTGAGGTTTATAAGATTATGCATGGGCCAGAGCAGATAGAGAAAGAGGTACTTTTGTCCCTTTCTCACAATACAAGAACTCGTGGGCACTCCATGAAATTGCTGAGCGGTTGGGTTAGAACGGATAAAAGGAAGTACTTCTTCACCCAAAGAGTGATTAACACATGGAATTCACTGCCATAGGAGGTGGCGGCGGCTACAAGCATGGACAGCTTCAAGGGGGAATTATATCAGCATATGGAGCAGAGGTCCATCAATGGCTATTAGCCACAAGGTATAGGTAGGGGCTCTGGGGCAAGTGATGCTCTGTCTTCTTGGTGCTTGGGGGGGGGTCAATAATGTGAGGGCTCCTAGTATCCTGGCCCCACTGGTGGACCTCCTGATATCACCTGGTATTTTTGGCCACTGTGTGACAGAGTGTTGAACTGGATGGGCCACTGGCCTGATCCAACATTGGCTGCTCTTATGTTCTTAATGCCACAGTTTCTATACAGGAAGAAGAATATATAATATTTCTGATACCGTGCACATTATTGATAGTGAAATGTCTTGTAGGGTCAGGATTACCAGTAGTTGTCTATAATTAATTATCAGGAATGATAAATTGCCATGCATATTCTATGCACGTTTCTTTTTAAGTGAAGAATTCTGTGCCTTTGTTCAGGCTTTTTTTTTTTTAAGAGTTCATGTTAAATTAAGCACACAAAAACAGAATAAAAAATAGATCTGATGCTTGTGTGAGCCTGCAGTCCTTCCAACACCCCTTTCTCTTTGTTTTCTGGGGAAAGCTACATCTTTTCAGACAAGGCTGTGCTAGCTCCTTTCAATCAACCTTCATCCATAGACTAAGCCTTTATCAAGGGAAATGAAACGTTTGGCTTTGGTCTCTTGGATGATACGTCTGTCGATGACTGTCAGCCACGACAACTGAAGCAAACTTCTATGTTCGGTGGTATTGTGCCCTCACAATACCACAAGCTAGATTGTCTTCATCCCAGAGGGCTCTTGTATTGTTGTCATGGAATTGTGCAAACTGTGTAACGTGTGGATTTCTTTCACATTATACCTGTTGAGTGTAATGTGTGCTTACTTCGTGCTTCATCACCTGTAGGACCAACACAGCTGTGACTACTCTGGGTACATTGGAGAGGAACTGACCAAGACTTGTTCCCCCCAAAATCAAACTAGAAGTCCGGATCCCGTGCTTCCATCTTTTCTTTCTTTGCTTCAATACTTAGGTTCCGTTTTACGTATATAAAAATGTTTCTAGCCCCTATGGCTACAACTCTCTGAGAAGCCAGGGAGACATAAGCAGGGGTCGAGCTAGGGGAACTCATTAGCATAACTCATTAGCATATGCCACACCCCCTGACATCACCGGAAGTGTGTCATAAGGCCACACCCCCTGACATCACCAGAAGTGTGTCATAAGGCCACACACCCCGCCCCCAACGGTCCCGGCCGCCACCGCCGGCCTTGCAGCTCCACTGCCAAGCCCCATGAGGGGCCCGGTGGTGGACCTGCAAGGCCGGCGGGAGTGCAAGGAAGCCCCGCGAAGGCCCTCCCTGGCCCCAGGCAGGCAGGGGTGGGGGGAGGCAGGGAGGAAGCAACTTACCCTCCCTCTTCTCCTGCCTCCTCCTGGCTGAATGAGGGCCGGAAGCGGGGCGGCCGGAAGCGGGGGGCGGGGGGTTGTCATGGGGCCCGCCCCCCCCATACCTCCCCCGGGGGGAATGAGGGCCGGAAGCGGGGTGGCCGGAAGCAGGGGGCGGGGCTGTGTCATGTGCCCCGCCCCCCCCATACCTCACCCGGGGGAACTGCGTTCCCCCGCGATCCCCCCCGAAATGACCTCTGGACATAAGACTTCCAAGAGTCAAAGGGAAGATGTCAGTGGCTTGCTTTCCTCCCTACCTTCTCCTGTAACCGGCAGAAGCCGAATAAGATCTAAAATATACAAAGCCATTTGGATAACATGTTCAGGTTACAGAATCCTGCTTTTTTTCAGCGCAGAATTTGAGTTACCCTGGTGCAGAGTCCTGAACCTACTTTCTGAGTAGCGGGGGAATGAAGTACTCCCAAGTCGGAGTATGGATTTGTTATTTCCTGGGTTTTTTTCACCATCTTCTGGAACGAAAGTCGCATTTTACCGCTCCATGTGGGCCTTGTCACATTGTCTGGCCAGTGTGTTGCTTCCTAGCAATTAATAAGGCTTAAAGATGGATCCAAATACCAGTCAAATAGGATTTCTAAGCATGAAGTACTTCCCAATCGTATGAGCCGCAGCAGCATATTTAAAAAAAAAAAATAGTGGGGATTTTATTCCTGTCTGATGGTAACCATATGGATTAGTCAGTGCTGTGGTTTGAACCCAGTCACACCCTACAGCAAAACCTTTTGAAACAAAACAGCAAGACTCATTTTCCTCATTCACCCTTCAAGGGGAGGGGGAATAATAGGTACTGGGGGGGGGGTGTTTCCTGCAGGTGCCGAAATGTCCAATATAAGTGGGTAATCTAACACCTTCTCTAATAATAACCATCTGTCAGCAAGGAGGGAAAAGCGGTTTCTGGAAGTTTTACAGTGTTGCAAAATGGTTGGCTCTCGTTTGGGTTTGCTTTGTACAAAAATCCGTTCCGTTGTACAAAAAAGCCCGCCCCAAACCGCCAAAACAGCAACAAAAATGCCACTCTGCTCTCCGACTCAATTGCACTTCATTTGCAAATCCTTCATAACGTTTATTCGTGGAATAATGTTCTAAAACCTGTTTTGTCCTACTAAATTCTGAACAGGATCACATAAGCATATCAAGCTGCCTTAAACTGAGTCAGACCACTGGTCCATCAAGGGGCCGTGAAGGGAGGAGCTGTGGCTCAGTGGCAGAGCATCTGCTTGGCATGCAGAAGGTCCCAGGTTCAATCCCCGGCATCTCCAGCTAAAAGGTCCAGGTCATAAGTGATGTGAAAGACCTCAGCCTGAGACCCTGGAGAGCCCCTACTAGTCTGAGTAGACAATACTGACTTTGATCGACTAAGGATCTGATTTAGGAGAAGGCAGCTTCATGTGTTCATGTGCCAGTCTTGTCTACTCTGACTAGTTGTGGCTCTCCAGGTTCTCACTCCCATGTCACTTACTACCTGCTTCTTCCCACTGGAGATTCCAGGGATTGAACTTTGGACTGTCTGAATGCCTAGCAGCTGCTCTGTCTCTGGACCGCCATAGTGCAGGGATAGGGTCAGGACTCAATGTACCAGCCCGAGATAGCGCTTTATTTATTTAGATCTTTATATACCACTTTTATTTTTTTTTTAAATTTAAATTTTTTATTGTATATTCAGAATATTAACATAAACAACAATTCCTGTAAAATACATTTCAGAACATTTCAGAATAGATACTTCGCAAGTACCTGCTTTTTAAAGTAAATTTGCAATAAGCATGGTAGAGAATAATTGAAACATTGTACATTTAAAGACATTAATACAAGTATATAGCTTTAGAATACTATACAATCAAGAGCAACTGTTACAAGTGATTATGTAGAGATTCTTTGTTACTGTTCTACTTGAAAAGTTTTAAACGACCTTGTTACATGAAAACGACTGAGCAATGTTTTGTGATATGGGTTTTCAGAACCATTTCAAGTAGTCTTTCCAAGATGGAGGTATGTGGTTTCCAAGTGGTTTCCAATTCTGTCTTATCTATCGGAGGAAGAATACATACCACTTTTATAAAGATCTAAATAAATAAAGCGCTATCTTTTTTTATATACCACTTTTATCAGGAGCTGCGGTGGCTCAAGTGGTTAAGACGCTGAACTGCAGGCTGTGGAAGGTCAGTAGTTCAGCAGTTCGAGACCCGGGTTTCCACATGACGGAGTGAGCTCCCGTCTCTAGTTCCAGCTCCTGCCAACCTAGCAGTTCGAAAGCAAGAAATGGCAAGTAGATAAATAGGTACCACTTCGGTGGGAAGGTAACAGCGTTCCGTGCGCCTTGGTGTTTAGTCATGCCGGCCACATGACCATGGAAACGTCTTCGGACAGCGCTGGCTCTTCGGCTTGGAAACGGAGATGAGCACCGCAACCCTTGAGTCAGATTTGACTGGCTTTCGAGCAAGGGAACCGTTACCTTTACCTATACCACTTTTATCCCTAGTGGGGACCCAAAGTGGCTTACAGTTTCATTCTCCCCTCCTTCATTTCATCCTCACAACTTTCCGAGATCCTTTA